GGAGTGCAGTGATGAACGCAAAAGGGGTCGCACCAGGACCTGCAAATCCACCGCGAATCAAATGCGTGCTTACCCAACTTTTTACTAATGATCAGGAGTTGCTAAATCTAGGGGAGACATGGTGGAAGGTCGGCCCCACATGTCGAGCTATAGGAGCGCATGCAAGGTACGTGCTTATTCGTTGCTGCAGCCGTGCAATTGGGCTCCGCCGCTGACCGAGCAGGCGCGACAATCGGTCAGATCGACAATATAAAATTCAGATTCAATAGAAAAATGGGCAATACTTCAATGATGTGTCCCTTCTGCATTGGACTACTTAGCATGACATACCCACGTGCATTCCGTCCACAACTAAGTTGGGGGAGAGCAGAGGGCGTCGAAGACACGCTCGGAACGTTATGCTAATAAAACACTGGAGGGACTACACCGCAGCTCTGGCAACCCTATTTGTATGATGCGTGCTGAGAAGCGCATGGAATGTCCAAGGGCAAAAAGTGGAAAGGAAAATTGAACACAGACGAAATAACTGATGCACTCCACTATGGCGGCTCCACGGAGACTTAGTGTTAACATATTTGCTGAACGTAACCCCTTCAGGAATAACAAGTTGGCGCAGCTACGCGAGGTCTTCTCGGATCTGTTAGGAAGGAGCTGCCAGTAGACTGGCCACGGGCCGGATACGCATCTCAAACAGAGTCCCGGCGCTGCACCGCGCTTCATTCCGAGTTACAAGCGAATCCCGCGTGTTGAAGAAGGAATTGGTCACCAAGAGTAAGGACTGCTCAGAAGGGGTAACACTTAAGCGTAACGTAGCTCGCCTCTACCAGTGCTGGGTAAGAAGAAGCATGGCAGAAGGATCATGTCTGTCAACCAAACGACATTCGGTGAAATCACAGGAACCACAGGAAAGCATGCAAGGCGCGGATTGAAGACGCACTTCAGAACCAGCCAGCATGAGCATCGTCCTCGCGAGTTCACCGACGCTCCCTTGCAGATTCTGGCGTATCAGGACAACAGGCGAAGCTCCGCACTTCCCACAAACGCCGCTAAACTTCAATCTCCGTAACTTCCTGCCTGATGATACCTGGATGGCCGTGTCGGTGGACAGCGTGGCTGTATCCAGATGGACTGCGTAGGCCCAGTTGCAGCGCCAGCGGGATGCGCCGGCACATTGTGGGAGGCATTGAGCTGTTAAAAATTCCAGGTCGTTTTTTTGCAGTTAAATTATTTTGCGTTTTGGAATTTTGAAGCCTTCCAAAAAGCGGTTGTGTTGGGCAATGGTAAAAAACATTTCCAAGTGGGCGATAGACCAAATATCTCCCACGTATTTTCAGAAATCCCATGTTCCCGCTTCCTGCGAGAGCGACTTTCTTTCTGGATTAGCTCGTATTGCTGTCTTCTTAACAGATATATTCAACAGGGAAAACGCGCTAGGCTGGACAGAAAGTCAGGAGGAAGATCTAAGAAGCCTGCTCAGACGCCTGACATTGCATACACAAGTAGGGTTCACAGAGTTAGCAAAGGCGTTTTTTCTAACAACAGAGGGGGGTAGCACAGCTGTTCGCCAGCTTGAGGAACTCTTTTCAAAAACCCGAAAACTCGAAAAAAATTGCTGCCCCATTCTGTCCACGCCCTTTCCCGGAAATATAGCACAAACGACGGTTGGGATTGAGTTCTATGTGTCTGGCGGGCAGATGAAGAAGCACTGGCACTACTTGCATAGGCTGTATTTCACTATTTAAACTGATAGTCAATTCTCTCCACACGTGGGAAGGGGATGTGAAGAGTTCCATAACGACTAAACTAAAATATCCTCGGCATTCTTGGCTAGGATGCCCTACTGCGTGAGCCAGCCTTATACTGTTTATCGGGTTTGTACGGATCTGTAGATGGTTTTCTGGGTGAGCTTTCGGCAGGCCAGAGAACTCGCTAGCTTTTACGATACTGTAGATTGCTCCAGCACTTCTGCCAACCTTATGTTCTGTTTTGGTTTTCCAGTTGTAGAATGAGCTCCCCGAAGATTCACCTGAAAAGTGTAGTAAGGATTTTCTTACCATCACGGCCAGCCGCTGGGAACGCGTTCGCGGCTTCCACAGCCAGTTTCTAACGCCATTTAGTATCTACCGTTAGACGGCTATTGCAGCCTCCCGGAGGGAGGAAGCAGAGCTGATTAAATCACGACCAGACTTGTCGGCATTCCCGCTGAAATCGACCAGAGTAGGAATTGATATCCTCCCTTATGCACAAAGGGATCATGAATAACACTCCGCCTTTCAACGAGATTTTCGACTGAAACGCCGCTTTCCGAACGGTTGTTTCTCCAGCCCGGTGGCAGCCAGCCCTGCCCGCTCCTTGTGGAGTTGCATCTTCCTGCTGCTCGCGAATGTACGAAGAAAGCAGACGAAAGCCAACCAACTGCAGACGGTGTGGCTTCACTACGTGTAACCCAGGCAGCCTGGTTTCAGTGGATTCAGATTCTGCGAATCGTCTAGGAAGGCGAGCGCCACAAGACGATCGCCCTCCTATTCGTTCTTCGGCTCGTTTTTGATGCGCTTACACTCTAGACTAACTCCCCAGCGGATTCCTTGCAGGGTTCAGACCTCCCGTTGAGCCGTTCCCAAGAAACAGCATCACCGCCGTGGAAGCATACAGCAACCGAAAAACATTAAGATCGAGAACAGAGGTGTAGGATTGCGCTCGCATGACAGAAAGTACTAATGTTACCCTAAATGGCACGGGAACACACAACCGGAGCAGGTTGCTGGGGATCGCTTGAAAACACTAAATTCTCATGAGCATATAGGTACCCTCCTCAGTTCGGCAGGAGACTGCAGGCACAAGCAGGAGCACTGGAGTTCCAATTGGGCCCACCACCAACTATTTTTCACTCAGTTGCTCTGACGCATTTACACATGAGACAACAACTCCATATCCGCGTACTCTGCGGGTAATGATCTTCTAGCTCTGAGGTGCGAACCTCCCCTACCTACCACTTCGTTGGTGGCACAGACGACTTCTTGATTTTCCATATTTCACGCTAGCGGTCTGTGAAGCCCCTGCGTAACGCAGGCCGTGGCGGTTTGCCTGGGTGACGGTGCAGTCCTTATTCTTGTTTGGTTGGCACTGCAACATTTTAACGCCGGCGGCAGCGCATGCTGCTGGCAGGAAAAGCCACGCAGCTTCGCTGGCCTGCCACTGCCAAATGCGGGCAAGTTTGTGCCCCTTCGGCAGCAGGCCCTCTCGCTTTTGCTCTTGCTGTCCGTTTGCTTTCCGGAGTTTGGGCGCTTGCCAATTTTGCCTGTTGTCTGTCTTCTCTTGGTGCACGCATTCTTTAGTCGGCGACAAGGTAGATGGAGGCGTGCCTTCTCTGCAAGGAAAGAAGGGGAGGTATAACATGCAGGATCAGGTGTTTGTGCATGCATTTCTGCTTGCTTGCAGCTTGACTATACAGGGCCACGTGTTTAGTAATTATCTACAGTGTTGGTGCAGGCATCGAAACAAAGCTTGGAAATGCTTACACGTAGGGATGCCTTGCAGCGGGAGTTCGAGAAAGGAGTGTTACTACGTATGACATGCACCGACCATACGGAAGGCAGTCGTTGGCTCCAATGGAGACGAAATAGTGAAAATAAAGATTTCCAAAGAGCAGATGATCATTCCTCTTGTCTCTGACTGCCCTGTGCAATTTGGCACGTTACTGCCGCTCGTGAGCAGAGGAGGCGGCTTCTCCTGAGTTGCAGCACTCCTCAGTGCAGGCCCTGCTGCAAGGCAAGCTCGCATGCAAGCATCCCAAGCTCGTATTTCGGTGCATCCCGCAATGCCGTGGACAATTCTTAAGCATTAACGCGGCACAACCAAGAAACCTGCACACTTGCTCACCTCACAGAGACGATGGCACAAAAGTCATCGATATCCCACAGCGTTATGGCCGGCAATAGGTGCTAGAGAGAAAACAGAAACTCGCCAACCTGAGCGGGTAACGAAACTGAAACTACTGAGAATACCGATGCAGCCTGCTCTAAGTACAAGGATCCCAAGCTTGGCCTTCCTTCCTTAAACGCTCAACAGTTGTGCGGTGATTCATTCAAGAGTCATCTGCTAGGTACGGAGCATCCAAAGGGCATATTTTTCAGATTGTATAGATGAAGGAGATATAGAGAGGTTGCCAGGCAAAGGTCTGGAATTGACCTGGTTGAAAGCGGTGATGCTGCACACGAAGTACCGTTCTGCAAGGACATGGGTGCTGCTGGCCCACAGTGCACATCTTTGTGACCCACTATACAGCAACCAAAAGCAGTCGAGAAAATAAGAACTGAGATCTACACTTGGAAATCTCGCAGATATTTGAAAGCGGCCCACGAGGCTTGCCAGACTAGTGCCCCGTGCGAGCTGTTTCTTCTATGCGACGCAAAAAGTTTGAGCTGTAAGGTAAGGATTCAGTTCATTTCAAAAGAAAGAAGGGGGGAAAATGATAGCAAGCCTTTTCTTTGCGGTGTTTCCATAGTGCCTCAACGCGCAACAGTGACACCAGGAATATGCATGAGCTGAGCTGGGGGCTTCCCGCTGCATCGTTCTGCACGAGCTGAAATATGTGGTGAATATATGGCATTGGTTCTAGAGGCGTATATTATAAACTTAGGGAAGTTTCGACAGGGCAGTTTTGATCCAGATTTGTTCTCGAAGTCGCTGCCTACTGTGCACGACGCCGGGACAGTCTCACTTTTCGTCGTATTATAAAGTCCTCGGATTTTGTTCGTTCCCCTTCGTCTAAGCTCCACTTCAGCTGAATATGCTTCTCTAGAGTGGATAGGCAGCTCCTATACCATACTGAGTGGAGAGGGAGACCCAAATCGATTTGCGCGGAGTTGCTTGCCTCGCGATTGCAACTGCAGGGCAGCAGAATCTGGGTTGCCTCTCTGCGGCCTTCACTTTCGGGTCCCTTTCAATTTTCTGATATGTCCTCCGTGAGTGAACTACACATAAAATCTACAGGAGCCACCATGAGACAAGCCCTTGCAACTTCTTGTGTGAAAGGCCTCAGCGTGACGGAGCGTCGGACGCCATCTTCGCCACCTGTGGGCAGACTGTCTACTCATCTACGAGAAAGATGCATATTTGCTGGTGTACCCATCCACCAGAATGGTCTCGTCAGTGCCGGTTTAGACCCACATACCTCTGCCGGCGTGCTGCATTGCTGCCGGGCCTCCACCCTGGATTGTGGAGGTGAGTCGTGATGTAAGCGAGTGGATTACCAGCAGTCTATGGAATCACTGGGTGGCACTGCATAGAGACTGGCTGCCGGTTTAGTGGAAAAGGCGAAATGCATTCGCCTACAGACGAGTCCTCTCTACCGGCGAGGCCAGTTGATGTGGCGAGACCTAATTGGCCGGTGTATTCTGCCTTACTTTAGAGAAGCTATTAAAAGAAATATCGTACCAGAGTTTGTACTAGGGTGAGCTGGTAAGTAGAGCGTGCAATGGGCTACTGCTGGGTTGCTGGTCTCTCATAGGCGTGGTGCTGTCTGCGCCTGGTGGTGTAGAACCGTGCTCCGAGAAGTTGCGGCTGCAACTCGCAAGCGTGGGAGATAGATTCGCAGGGTTTAAGTCCTCCATTGCAGAGGATACAAGGAGGAGGCGCTTGCTCGAAGCAGAACGATACAGGGTATGCGGGTTTCCTACCGACGGTAATTGTGCTAGGAGTGCGTAATGGCGCTGCGAATGACTCGTCTCTTAGTGCTTACATGAGGGTAGTGGCAGCAAGAAGGGGAGGCGCCACTAGGGACTGTAAGCAGATGAGACACAGGCTACATTTCAAGCAATATATGTTCTGCAAAGAGTCCATACACGCACGTGCACTCGGCAGTCCTAAATTTTGCTGTGCTTAGCAAATTCGCCAAGCAGTACAAGCGATTGAGAGCGGAGTAGCAGCAGAAACACGAGGAAGGGGAGAAGCCAACAAAGTGCTTGAGAAGGCGGCAGGGAAGATGGCAGCAGAAATGCTAGAGAGGTTGCAATCAAAAATAGGCAGACACATAGGCCATTTGACGGTAAGCTAGCACTCGCATCCCACATGGACTACGAATGCTGAAGAAAGACATTTCACCGCAGATGCTACAGCTGGAATTTTTTCTTCGTTACACACCATGCTGTTGCCAGTAGCCTCAACACCCCTTGTCAGTGACATTTCTAGCGTATTCCCTGTGCTGATACGCCTGTTTGTTCTGGGAATGCTGTTCTTGATGGCTTCAGGGTGCCCTCGACCATCTCATAACGCGCTGCGAGGAATTGGAGCAAGGGCTGTCCAGCCTTAAAGGGGAGCAAGCTGCAAAAATCTCAGTCGGGCAGCCCGTCCTATGAACAGCAGACGCAGCGGCCTCGACAGTGTATTCCAACTAATTTAGCTTTTGTTTGCTGGCCTTCTGCGTGCACCTAATTGTGTGGTTTGTCTTTTTTTTAACACAAGCCCTTACTCAACGACTAACTCATTTTTTTCCAATAAGGTTACCATGGAAAATATTAATATCATTTTAGGAGCGCCGTTGCTGGACTACGTTTCGTCTTCAGCGGGATGCCGCAGAGCTGATGGCTCGCTGCAAGGCCATACGTGCGGCGTTCGAAGCTGAAATACGCTCGAGGAATGCGAGGGAAGATGCAGCAGGGGAGAAGCTCGAAGAACTCGTCAAGAATTTGGACGTAAAAATTGAGAGTGAAATCGCGGCGCGTCACCAGCAAGTTTCATCCCTCAAAAGGGATATTGCCGTGCTGCTCAGGTGGGGCTGCCAATTTCTTGCGACAATTGCACTGAAACAGTCAAAACCTCAAAGCGACAGTAGAAACAATGAGTTTTTTATCTTACGTCGACGGATCTCCATGTGGGCTTGCTGCCGGGGAGGTAGACGGCTAATTCCCTACCCACTTTCTCGCACGACTCTGTGTGCCGCGCCTCAGGGGTGACCAACCTCGCGATCAGTTCCATGCCTTCGTCAAGGAAGAGCTCGAGGAGCTACGTGCGGGCCTTGCAGCTGCCACGCGAGCTCGTGAGGAGGCTGACGATGAAATACTACAGGTGCAACCATGGAACCTTTCAGCAGTGTACCGTGACACTGGGCACTGTATCCGATGTAGTTGCGTTTGACATCTAAGGCTTACAACAAATTACTCCCCGCGGCGGTAAGCGGTGTGGATGGGCATGAAAGAGCGATACGAGTCGTTGAGCTGTTTCTACAGGCCATAAACGAGTATACAAGTGCTCTACAAAGGGGCCTGCAGAGTATCGGAGGGCTGGCAAGCGGCGCAGCCGTTGCGTAAACATCTTTTCTAGGCAGTAGTGTGGCCACTGTCCTCCACGAATATTCCGTGACTTCCTGCCTCAGGATATTGTGTGAATGGCAATTGGTTTTTTCCCGGGGGGAACGCCTGAAGGTATATGTGAACAGTGTGCATTCAACTGTGTTCATTGTAGTGTTCCCACATCCCAAAGTTTATGCTTGTAGCTGCGCAAGGAAGTTCTGCGGTAACTTGCCCGAAACAGCTGAATGCTCCGCTTGGAAGTAACTTCTTAATGGGGGCACACACACAACTGATTTTTGGGTGCCCCGCTCCAGCCTGGCGGGTAGCCCAGCGACACGTTTCCATTTTCTTTGGCTAAGTGCTCATACCCGCGCATTCATGAACTAGAACAGAGCAGCGAAGCAGCGCCACGCTTGCCAGCATGTTCGCCGCACCCAAGTCTATGATCAAATAGAGTGTTCTGGCCCTACTGCTGCGTCTTTTGCCTGTTGAGACTTTAGACTTGATTCTTCACCCTTGATCAAGAATGAAGCGCATTCTCAGATGCAGATATTTTTTCAATATGAATGGAAGACAGTAGAAACCGTAAATGCTCCTCCCTAAGAAAGTTGCAACTTGCCGTGATGCAAAAAACCAACTCTGGAATGTGGACTATGACGATGGCAGCACATAAGGTCGTGATGGCTTCTACAGAATATATATACACGCATGCATGTATATCTGCTACAGAGTATGCAGAAGGAGCACAGAGGGAGGCTTGAGTACAGCTGGGAATTGCTTCTTGTGGGGCGACTAAGTGGAGCTATAGAGGCAGCGGCATGCTGAGCACTGGAAACGACGGTAATAGGCGCTTAGAGGAGGAGATGACGAATTCTACATAGGAAGTGTTGAGATTGCTGAAAAGGAAAAATAAAACGCCCTAAGATACTGTGAGGCCAGATGCGTTTCGAGCGGGGTACGGGTGCTTGTGATTTGCCTCGTTGCGGGGCCCCGGGTACCCGTGCGGTGACCCCGTACAACCCTGCAACTTCAGGGTTCGAGGAAAAGAATATCTTCGCTCGATATACACAGACTTGGCTAAGATTGTACGCATATATTGATCCCTGAGGAGATAGGCGCCCTCAGGGTCCGTATTTTTCCGAATAGCGCGCCGCTGCTCAGGTGTGCAGGAATCATCATGCGACATTGCATTACACCTGAAAATAAGCTCTTGGTTGCCTTTAAACCTTACTTCCGGAAATGTCTGATTGACAGAACATTTGATTAGCGCATTTAAGGAACTGCGGCATGTGATTTTCAGGAGAAGCATAATCGTTGGGAAGAGCTTCGTGAACCTGTGCGGGAAGCAGTGCTGCATTCCGCCGTCCGCAATGGTCGAACTTCTGCTGGAAAACAACTATACAACGTCAGTTTATTAAAAAATTAGAGGTAGAATCATAAAGTTTTATGTGGCCCCAGGCTACTCAAGTTGGCGGCTACTGGAGAGGGCTCTGGTGGAGGCGGACAGTGCTGTTGGTCTCCAAGAAGACGGGTTGGTGCGCTGGATAAAGGGCAGGAACCAAGGAAGTGGAACTACAGTGTGTAGTTGCCCCTTAGTGCCTTGCAGAGTTGCCGCCCTCCGCATCAGGAGTGCATCAGAAAAAATGCAATGGGCGGAGTGCCTGTCGCCCTGCGTGTAAGGAAGTTTGCGGCTGAATGGACTAGTGGTTATTGCATCGTCCTTCAGAAAACACGTAGAGTTCCACTGGATCTGAAGCAGTCGAATTATTGTGGCAGGTGCCAACATATACCTAGCTTTGATTGCGAGAAACGCCTTGAAAAATAAAATTCGCTTCAGAAAACTTTCCACACGCACAACGAAGTCCCGGGATGCCCGTAATGGCAATTGGAATTTTCTGAAGCACAAATGTAAATCCCAACAGCTGCACGTTGGGAGACTTGCGTCTGCATACTGGGCGTTTCGATAGGCCCAAAAGTGCCGCTTAGCTTCAGTACCGTACCACATGCTGCTTGCTCCTACATGTGCTGATACAAGTCCGCTTGTTTGAGTCGGTCTCTACGGAAATGCACTGTTACCCAGACGTCTGCGAAAAGCCACAGGCCTGCTGGGTGAATATAAACGGTTTTTCCAGGCCAGCCAGAGCCACCTCTGCCAGGGCCCGTTATCGTGTAGGCCACGCTGACAGCTTGCGGTTACCCAGCTGGGATCATGAGCAGTTCACACATTGGTCAAGAAGAAGCCCACTACTACAGGATCCGATGCGCTGCGAAGCATCTCATGGCTACGCTGGGCAACGAACTCTTCAGCCACTCTCGGTAAGTCTGAGCGTTGTTCCAGCTCGTGCAGTTGGGCCATAAACGCATCGCTGGAAGGTGAGAAGAAAGCAGCAAGGAGGTCAATGCTGCTAATAATGTCTCTGCAGCCAACTGCGCAAGATGGTCCTGCTCAAGCCCCACACTACGCTCCGGACGATGGCATGCGCCCAGCCACTCAAGTGGAAACGCTAGAACACCAGCTTGCAGCCTTGCGCGAGTCAAATAGGACTCTTTCTCGCGACGTCGCCGATCAAGGCAAGTGCTCCCTGCCACAAGTTGGGAACCGGCCATCAACTTCATCTGGCCCGAATACAAAACATGCACTCGCGAAATACGCTTGCATTTAGTCTCCGGGTTCAAATTAAATGTTTACAGCGCAGGAACTTTCGGCAGTGCGAAAACAGTACCTGCAGCAGACGGCTGAAGTTGCGAAGCTTTCTGAGCAGTATGGTGCAATTCGGGCTTCGTCAGATTCAGCTGCTGTGGAACTTGCAGCTGCTCGGAAGCAGCTTTCTATGGCAAAAGCGGAGGCCGAGCTGGCAGTGAGCGACCGCATTGACTTGATGAAGGAAAACAGCCATCTGAGGCAAGAATTTACGCAGGCGATGGTACGGGTACCAACGTCTTTACGCAAACTAGAAACTTCAAAGCCCGAGATGGGGCTGAAGAAGTAACCTAGGTTGAGGGAAAATCTAGTGTCTAGCGTTTTGCACTCGGAACGTCAGTGCTTCATTCTCTGCGGCACGATGAGGATAGCTAGCGAAGTTACGTTGCGCCTGCTGAGCTTTCCCGTTGTACAGGCGCAGATCGCATCCTTGCAGCAGCATATTGGAAAGCTTTGCGTTGTAGAAAAGGATTTCGAGCAAGCCCAGGCTTCGCTAGAACGTTGCAGGCAGATGCATACTCTAGACCGAGAGCAGATTCTGCGCTTGGAAGACGAGCTAAAGGCCTTCACTGAGAAGGAAAAGCAATTGTTGCTAATACAGGTGCTTTTACCATAATTTGAATGTGCACTAATTGGCGAACTATCTGATTTAGGGGCCTTGGTAATAGTTAATCCAAAGGCTGCTCCAAGGTGAGTAAGAGCACAATAGCAGGATGGCCATGTTGCTTCAGCGGGAGGCCGAAATTGCGAAGCGGGAAAGTGCGAAGCTTCTTCGGGAACTCCAGGAGGCTCAGGAAGCATTAAGAACTTTGCAAGATGTCTCTGAAAGGAACTGCTGGGTCAGTGGTCTCGGTACGGTACTAGAAATAACACTCATGGGCTCGCTTACCGCCTGCAGCACGGACTTTGCATTGGTTCAATAGAGTGGGATCATGCTTTACTTTTTGAAGCTCGAGGATGAACGTAAGAGACTTCTCCCGTTTGAGATAGAATGCGAACGGATGCGGGCACGCATGGTTCTTGAAGAAACTCGAATTAAAGAGATAACTGTGAGGCTCCGTTGAATTTTGCCAAGGAGCAGCGTTTGCCGTTGGCGCTAGAAAATGTAAACTTGAAGTCATCCACGCAAAGCTTAAAGGGATACTGCGGTACAGACTTTAGAAGAGTTACAAATCGTTTCGGCCAATCTGCAAATACATGGCTCTGTTGCGCAAGGAGTGTTTCTGCGTGCTTCAGGAGAAGCACGCAGAAACACTGCTTCAATTGAAGACGACGTTGGCGGACGAGAAGGCCCTTAGGCATGAGATAGAGAGTCAGGCCAATGAGATCGCCACACTTGCTACTGACCTTAGATCGGTGAGTTTTAGATCCGGGAGTAAGAGTGCTAGTCATGCTGCAAGGTTACTAACCTGTTCAACTCCCCATGAAATGAGCGCATAAGTCTTGGATGAACGACAATCGCATCGGTCGGAGTTAATTTACATGTAGAGATCCTCTATTTGGGGCTGTTTTGCTGCACAAGGCTAACCAGCGCGACGCACAGAAAGCTGAACAGTTGCGGGCAACCATGGAGGAGGCGCGACGCTTTGAAAACGAGGCGCAACGACGCCTTGAAGATGTAGCTCGTCTAGAAGCCGAGAATGCCAAGATAGCAAAAGAACTCGAGTGCTACTCGAAAAAGCATTTTCAGGACCTTACAGAAACTCTAGCAGAGAAACAGAAGCTCAAACTGGAACTGGATGCAGCAACAGAGTACAACAATCAGTTGTCGGTAGAGCTTCAACTCATGAAAGAGTCAAACTGGAGGCAGAAGGAGGAACTAAGGAGCTCACGAGAGGAAATCACCATGCTTTCAAGCAAAGTGCAAGAGCTGATGCGCCAGGCAGATATATTTAAAGTAAGACAAGGGCTGCGAATGAGCGGGGAGCGATGCCATTTTTGAAAACTGGCGGCAGCTTCAAGAGGCTCATGAGTTCGCTCCTCATCAAAATGCTTTGTTTTGCAGGAGTCACAGCAATTGCAGACTGCCGAACTCGAATCGACAATTGCAACGATGGAGCAACAGTCGAAAAACCAAGAAACTGCCCTCCTGAGGACACAAACCCTAAACGAAGAAGTAGGATTCTCGCGGCTAGCTTCGTTATCCTTATTCGCGCAACCATGCTGAAGGGGGCCAAGCTGCTGCCTAACACATCAGTACTGTCATTTGCGGAGGAAGTGCAAAACTGGCGGGCATCAAGGCAGCCGGACTTAGTTTGCACACAAGCAAGAAAATTCGATTATACAATTGGGCGTTTTGACTCCATGCGCGCAGCTAGAAGCTACTTTGGAGGCACTTAGGCAAGAGCTGATGCGTAAAGATTCGAGCGAAAAAGAAGCACTTAGTCGGATGAGGGTGCAACTGCAAGGAGCGCAACAGCAGCATGAGGCAGCAGTGGCAAAGAAGAAGCAGTTGCGAACTCAGCTCATGGAGGCTACAAGAGCATTACATGTGACTCGAGTGAGAAATGAAGAGGTACGCAAGCAGCAATGACAACCATTTGGAACCTGTGTAGATCATTGGCCATCGTCGTTCGCCTTTGTTGGAAAGGCCGAAAAGCCGTTGCGCACTTGCCATACTCTCCAAGAGCAGGGAGGCCCCTTCTATCCAAGGACTACTAGACACACACTAAACACTGAATGTGACTTCTGCTGGTTCGGCTGCAGCTTTGCTGTCGTCTGGAGGAAGCAAAAGTACGCTAGGTTCGCACTTTAACGGGTATTCGCGATGTATTTAAGCTCAGCACCAGCTGCCCCGTCTTTAGCTTCCTCCTTTATGACCTCTGAGGAACCAATGGCGTCACCCCTTACTTTATCCACACAAATGGCCCGAAAGGAAATGCTTAGTACCTTAACTGGGAATGAAATCAGTGCGCTTGGCTAAACTATGAAGTGCGCTTATTAGTGTACATTTTGAAGTTTTATCTTCCCCTGCGTGCAGAAACAGACAGCTCTAGCTGCGGCAAACGGAGCGGCAAAAGAAAAAGTAAGCGTTTTCGCCCACTAGATGGAGAAAAAAGGAAGCCATATCTCTTCGTCTCCTCACGTTACAGAAGGTTGTTGTTGCAGCCACACGCTTGCATTTACGCTGATTTACAGTTGCTGGATGCCGTGGCCTCAACGACGGCATTTGCCTTCACCTGCCTTACTCTCGGTATTGTCCCTGTAGGACTTGGCTGAAAAATGCGCAACTCTCGAGACGAAGTTGGAAGAAGTGAAAAGACATCATGAAATCGAAGCAGCTAAAAGGCAGCGAGATAACCTTGAAGTACGCCGCCATCAGCAGGAGCTTGCAAGCTGCAGAAAGCTTTTGCAGGTAACTCCCCGCATCCAGCTCGGCCTACCTGAGTGAGGGTCGCCAGATATTACCGGCCTTAAATTTGTCAAGCCGAACAAGATATGCGTCTCTGGCAATGTTCAGTCCCTCCAGCTAACTCAGAGGGAGCTAGAGGAATGCTGCAGGAAGAAGGACGCTGAGTTGACTGCCTGCAAGGCTCAGGCAGAGGTACGCGTTCCCCTAGGATAAGTAGATTGAGCACTATGCATTTTCTCGCAAAGCAAAGCAGCAGCCTCGGTCCTCCAAAGACGGTGTTTTAGAGGTGTGTTTTGTAGAGGGAGTCTGCCGAGAGGGCTGAGGCTGAAGCAGCTTGGGCCCGTACTGTTGAGGAACAGGTTCAACAGAGAGTGTCGGTACTGGAGAAGGACTTTGCCTTGCGCATAGCGAAGTAGGCTAACACTGCTGCACCCGGAGAACCTGCGTCAGTTCACTTTACCACCGTGCTTTCACCAGAGAAAACGGCGGTTAGTGCGTCCCATCTTTCGAAACGTGAATATGGTGCCCTTGTTTGTGCGCGGCCTGTGCAGGATCCGCAAGAAGGTTGCAGAAAGGGCAGAATACAATCACCTCCTCGATGAGCTACTTGCGGCTGGTATGTTTCCACCTTTGGCCAGCCTTGGCAATCCTATGAAGCAAACGATGCAGAAGCGGCTAACAGATGCAAAGCGGGCACGTGTGTGAGGTGTGAGCAGAGCGCTCCATAATGAGACGCTGGAGAGAAGGGATGGAGCTGTGGAGGAAGGCAGTGGCCACGTCCCTCGCTCGGCAGTGATGGCTACCCTTCTCCTACAACAGAGCTAGTGGTGGTGCTACTGCCGGTGTTGGTGGTAGTGGTAGCGCTGGCGGTGGTGCTGCTGCGGGCGCTGTTCGCTGTACAACGGCGCTGCTGCTAGGGTGCCATCCATTTATTCGTATCTTCTATGAGACGCTAATGAAAAATAACCTCTCCAGAGCAGCTGTTGTGCGTTCCCCAGCTTCAGTGGCCATTCGACTTCAGGGCTGCGTGTTACCTAGCAGCCTTGCATGTTAAACCTGTCATTTCTCCATAGCGCGGAGATCCTGCTGCTGCCAGACATGGCATAACTGGCCATCTATTTCTGGTAATTGGTTTTCATGACCTGATTTCTATTAAAACTGGGCGGCGCGTTGAATGGAAGGGCGCTTCGCTTGTCAAGCAAACATTTTACTCGAGCCATTTTGTTTGTGCATACCTTCTCAGCTTGTTAGGGTGCTTGCCTAGCTCTATCAACGGTGTTAACCTCTAACTGCAGCGCATTTAGGCCGATTAAGCTTTATTTCCGCTACTTCTGAAAGAACATGTGCTGTATGCCAGCAACCATTCAGATCGTTGGCCACTAATCAAGTCGTATACTCCACCTGGCGTTGCGGGCTGGCATTCATTTTGTGAAAGGTAATAAAATGCCTTTCCAAACTGGTCGCTTGACGGGGATTTTTGCATTGTACTAACCATAACGGGCGTTCTTGATATACTATGGCGCCTGAGCATGGCGTATAGAATTTCTTGAAGATATTTATAGTGAAGCTACACACTAGGGCGGTGCACACAATAGCAGTGATAAGTCCCAAGTGATACACAACCACAGGATTCTAGGTGCACAGAGGCACGTCTTAACTGCGACTGCATCAAGGGAGAAGGATTCCGAGGAGGTAACCGAGGTTGAAATGGAATAAAAAGTGTACATTATACCGGCAAATTGTCGAACAAGGTGGAAATTGGAATCCTATTCTTATACTTTTACGTCCCAACTGCGGCGTTGCTAACTCTGTAAAGAAGTTGGCAGTCATGTGAGCAGTTCGCTTGCTAGGCGTTGAAGTGCCAAGTCTCAGTGTTCGTCTCTGGCGGTTGCAGCAACACACCCTTGCATTTGGTCGATTGGCAGGCCCCATACGTCGAGGCAAAGTGGAGCAGGTGCGCCTCTTCCCGATTCCACTGCCACTGCCTATAAACGCTCATCTGCTTCCAGCTGTCTACAGCAAAAAGCAGGTAAAAAATGCACACAAGCAACGCCGACGAAGTACGACCAAACCACTGGTAGCACAGGGGACTCCATCATAGGGAGGTCCCGATGAACCAACTCCTTTATTTAGTGCCTGACACAACACTTACAGTTTTAACTAGGAGGGCTAAGGAGGCATGCATTTGCAAATGCCACGGGCTGTGCTTGAGATTTCTACTGTCGTCCCTTTCGGGTCCCTTAAATCAGGTTTCCGCACACGGCATTCTGACTACGCGGAACCGAGAAGATGCCGCGTTTTATTGCATCAAAAGACAGAAATTATAAACAAACTTCGATTTTGAATGTAAATGAGCAATGATTGGTGGTTTGGCGGCGCTGTCGTTAGGGCGACTTTTCAACACAGGTCACGTGGCACATACGGGCGTCCGCGGGCGAATCCGAGCTGCATGCATTTCAGCTGAGGTGGAAAAGCTGAAAATGCTTTGAAAGCAAACTCACAATATTGAAAAGGGCAATAAGGCCATTGCTTCATACTCCCCGGGAGAAGGCGCCTACTGAGGGAAGCCAAGTACTGTGCGCGTTGTGCATTTCTTCGACTTTTCTTCTCGACGTGACTCTCCATTTGCAGTGGATCTCAGGCCCTGATATCTCTACAGCCATCTTTAGAACTAGAAGTCTCCTTGCTAGTCTCAGGGACGACCTCGGAAATTTTTGTACGGATCGGGGTGATATTAACCGGTCCCGAACCCATGGCCATGCACCAGCCGTACTAAACTCTTAACAGCAAGAAGGAGGGTTTACACAGTAGTGACGTATTCTTCCACCTGGCTGTGTTCCGCTGGCCCGTTTGCCCGTTGCCGAGGAGGCTTGAAAGCCTTCCATACCATGCCTGCCGGAACTAGCTACTGGTAAGCCAACATTGAGAGCTACTAAAGGATACGAACGGGTGCGCTTGCGGCACAAACGCCAAGGGCTTAACGTTCCGAGGCACCAATACTCCTCCCCAGGAGCAAGGACTTATGTAAACAATCAAAAAAAAGTTTCCTCCTGAAGAGCAGCTAGCTGGGCTAAAAAGTAAGAAGGGTAGGAGACGCAACAGTTGAAAGAAAATACCGTGCAACAGAAGCATTCCTGCCTGTCGTGACAGGTGATGCCTCCCTATGCCTTACCTACGAATGGCCGCATCCCACAGCCTAGTAAGAGACGACTAGCAGCCGCTATGAGTAGAATTACCATAAATCCCGGAACCTTGAACCCTAAACCTTAAAAGCCAAAGCCCAAAGGTCCTAGTCCCTAAACCATAAACCTAATCCTACTGTTCCAAAAGGCCGCTAGGAACTCCTGTAGGTGCGTTTTATAGAGCACTTAGGCGCGATCGCCACGCCCGGCTCACGTCGACGTTCCACGGAAGCCCATGTATTTAAGAAAACTGATACAACGCGAGAAATGCACAAAATGAGCTGACGCTTCGCGGGATCGCACCTTCCGTTGGCAATTGCAGGGGATGGCGCACAGGCCTGTCAGCAGTTCCCAGCGCGGAGGTCTCACAGATGCGGGAGCGTCGGAGTCGGGTCTTTCTAAAGTTGCTAAAGAGCTAACAGGAGTGAGACGCACAGAGATGAAGCATAAGCCATGCAGAATATGCAGCGAGAGTTCGATAGCAACCACAAACCCACTGCACCGACACTGGGAGAGGTTACATGCGCGAACCTGGGGACGCACTCTGCACAACTCCTCCAGAAGCTTTTATTATCGCCAGTAGGATGTACGAGCCAGCCTCAATATGCGAAGCGCTTGTTGACTACCGCTTCCACAAGCCTGTGAATGAGGGTGGCAGAACGCATTTGTAAATACCTATGTATACATGCAGACATATACATATATATATATATATTACATATGTGTATGCTTACATGCATATATATATATATATATATATATATATATATATTCGTATTTATACTGTACACGTTCATGAATATATATATATATATATATATATATATATATATATGTTTCCGTGGCGTCCTTTGACAATCCACTGCAGGCTGAGCATCCCGTGAAACAGAAGCTCCGGATTCTGGAAGCAAAACATATGCAACTTGTTCGGCTCGCTGCTTGTAAGGGACTGGATCTACTGCTTTTAAGTTTTTGAGGCCCTGCAGATTTCCCTAGATCGTTCTTGAAGATTGAGAAGCTCCGTACACTGGATGGTGCCCCTCCCCCTAAGCACGCTGTAAAGTGCGTGTCTTGCGCACACACGCTGTGGTTACGTACAGCTTACCGCAGCCGCAACGAACAACTTCTGCGCGCCGCAGAACAAGCAAACCAAAGAATTAAAGAGGTGAGTTGAGACATGTTGGCCTGCTAAGGCGGCTTTGAACCTTTCCGAACGTTTCAACAAGTACATGCATATGCCGGTGATGCAGCTTGAGGCGATGGAGGCGGCCAGGCTACAGGATGCAAATGCCGCTCAGGACGAGATTGCTGCGAGCGAGAAGGCAAAGCAGGAGCTGCAGAACCAACTGGAAGAAGCGCAGCAGCTTCTGCGCCAGCAGCAGGCTGAGATTCGGGCACTGAAAACGAAAACGCCTCAGAACATTGGGCACAGCAGCTCCCTTTGCAGAGGTATTCCAATGTTCACCTACGGCAGCTTTTGCACGTCGCAAATCATACGCAGAAAAGACTACATATTTGGTGTATGAAAGATAAGCAGCTTATGCTGACAATCGCCGGCAAGAAGACTGCGTGCCTCAGCGCTTTTTACAGGGGCTAGGCGCCAAGGCTCCGCAGAGTCGGTGCAAGAGGGAGAAAAGACGAAATTGAAGGAGGACTCCAGCGAATCTGCCGAATGCTCAAGGCTGCGGATGGCATTGCGGTCGAAGGGTGCGACAGGAGCCAAAATTGAACAGAGGGGCATTCCAACACATTGACAGCACGCAATTATTGCACGCTTTGGCTGGGAAAGATGCAAGGATACCGCGAAGACAAGCGTGCAAGCACCGACACTACGGCCCCACAGTGATGTTGGAGGGGGGGCGCTGCGTTTTATATGATGCACTCAGATCGACAGCTACGCATTCTGCAAAGTGAGCTGACGGAGCTAAGACAGCAGCATATCCAGGTTCAACAGCAAAGCGAGAAGCAACAGCAAGAGCTACTGAAGCTTGCACAACGCCTTGAGGTTCTGCGCAAATCAAAGGCGAGCTTTGAGGCAAAAGCAACTCGCACGGCACTGGTATGCACTTGCCTTCACAAAACACTTCGTACATCTTCGTTCCTAGCAATGCATTGGGCTCAATGAGGCCAAACCTCAGACGGCTGACACTGCACAGATGTGAGCATATAACGTCAGTTGCCCACAAACCACAACTAGGTCATGCGCGTTGATTAACTGGGCATTTCCAGGCACTTGATGCCGCTTATGCGCATCTGCGGACGGAACGCGAGGAAAAAGCATTTCTACTGCGGCTTGTTGATCCTCATCATGCTGGTGACGGAATAAAAGCAACAAGCAAAGCTCATGGGCAGCCGCTCAGAGAAGGCACATTCCCAGAGGCACCCCTCAAGCGTTTGTCGGAGATAGGCGCAAAACAGAACGCAACTGAACAGGTAGCAGCAAGATCCCAAACAACAGAAAGTCACTCAAGGTTCATTGCCCGCTTTCGACGAGATCGATATGGCGAGCCACCTGCGCCTCCCACGGTAATACCCGCTGTGCAGGGATCGGATAAGTTCTGCTCTACACAAGCGGGTGAAGGGACGAAGACGGAAAGCGATGAATTGTGCTCAATAGAAGAATGCAAGTCTGCAGCTCTCGCCCGCACATTTGCTTAACTAACTGCCTATTGCTGCTTGCTGATGAGGAACAGCCTGAAGCTTTCCCTGACTCAACTTTCGTTTTCAATACAAACACACACGCACACACACACACACACACACACACACACACACACACACACACACACACACACACGCATACGTGCGTGTGTGTGCGTGTCACACAGACATATATATATATATATATATATATATATATACAAGCACAAACACTCAGTCACACGAAGGAACGTCTGTGAGCCATGGCATGCGCACTGCCCCATTATTCAGATCAATGCCAGAAACAGTCGCCGCACGGGATGACGAGCCATTCACCAAAAGGCGAGGTCTGCAGAACAGGTATGGGGAAAGCCGGCTTCCTGACGAAGGTGGAAACGCCCTAAGGCAAATGCTGCCACAGATGTGTTCTGACATGCCAGTGGGATAGCGAACAAAGGAACGACTGCTGTAACTTTGCGCTGCGCATCACACTACAGAAAACGTTCAGCACAGCGATCTGAAAACTGCACAGAGCCCAGCAAAGTTCCCTGCAGAGCATCAAGGAGAAAAGAAAGTTGCTGGAGCGTTCTGCCGCGAACAGGAGGCAAGACCCTCCCTGCCTCTGCGCTCGAATAGCATGAGCGAGCAGCCACAAACACAAACGATGCTACGGACGGATTCTTCTTCCCACGAAAGGGCTTGTAGAGGTGGACTTTGTGCTTCGTTGCCTGCAACAAGCCCGTGTCATTCGCATTGCTCACAGCAAACCTGCTTTAGTCAAGACGGCGCTTTAGAGCGCATGTTCAGGATGAGAATGCAGGACACAAATTTGCTGCCGAACGTTCACCTCAGCAGGACAGGACAACCTGCAGATTTCAGACTGACACACAGGCTCCTCGGCGGGTGTAGCGGAAAAGCATGCGGTAATGGGTCAACCGCGTCTATTCAACCAGCCGACGAATACTACAGAGAAGAGAACATGTACAGAAACCCGAGTCCGGCGCAGCAAGCAAGGAGCCGAGTCGGAGCAGCTACGCAAACAGTGAAGTGTTCTTGCAGCTCCCACTACAAATGCCCAAGTCGAGGACAGGCACACGAGCAGGAGCAAAAGCAGCTGCTAGGGCAGACAGCCGGCTTCAACTCTCTCAACGAGCGCAGCAGCTGCCTTCATGAGGCGCACGGAGGGATAGTTGCCGCGCCCTGTGCTGCCTCAAGCCATCCTGAACGAGATGCTTGTGAAGCAGCAGTTGGGCGTTCTCTTTCTGAAGCGTCTGCTGCTGAAAAGTTCCAGGAAAAGCTGAACTGCGAAGGCGATGAAGACGCAAGACCCGCTGCAGCAGAACCGTCAGCCTTTAGGTCTGCCAGTCAGTGCGCCAGCCTAAGTACCAACGTAGACAGCGAAACAGCTGAAAGCATATTTCGCGACTCACATTTAAATTCGTCCTTTGTTGGGGGGCCCCCTCCGCGGTCTCGTGAGTGGGGAGGCCTGCCAACCCACAACGGCCTTTACCGCAGGGCATGCGTGGAAATGCACAAAGCCTCAACGTCGTCAGCAAAGCAAACCGACTCCAAAGACGAATGCGCAGAGGCTGCCCAGACGGGGAGGGCTGCACTTGATGCACCCCTTAGACAAACTTTTGAAGCATCGTCTCTGGGCGCCTCGTGGGATGCATCGCAGCTCGGGAGCGCAGCAGCCTCAGTAGCCTCAACGGGGGAGCCGTGCTCCGTATGCTGCAGCAGCAGCAGCCTCCGCGCATCTGCCAACCTGCGAGACCGAAACAGGCGGCAACCACCTGACGGCTCGCGACCCTGCGCGACTGAACTGAACCCTTCTTGGGAGGAGTGCGAGAGATGCAGTGCCAGCCAGTGCGACGCAGAGGAAGGACATCCCCTAGAAAGAAGCGCTCTGGGAGGGTTAGAAGGACCAGAAGCTGCCTTAAGAGAAGCGCCGCCAGAAGAATGCGCAACTTGGGGCCAGCAGCTGTGCGACTGCCTGCCCCCTTACAAAGACTGTGGGAACGCCAGAGAACACAGCGAACAAACAACTGTCAGCACAGCTCTCGCCAGTAGCAGTACTCAGCTCCCAAGCGCTTCATCTCCCGTGCCGGACCGTCGACCTTCGTGCAGCTGCTCCCCCATCTCGGACGCCTGCAGCAGCGGGGTTTCCGCCTGTGCAGGCATGCCCGGGCGCCCCAGCAGTGACGCGTCGGTACAGCTAAGCGTCAGCGAGGAGTCACGGTGTGCAACACCGCAGCTAGCCCCCCCGATTAACCGCTCAATAAACGGAAGCCAGGGGCAACCTGAGGAAACCCGCGCATGCATCGCTGGGTTGCACCGGAGGAAAATTCGGCTCTTAAAGACATCTGGAGGCGACAGCCACAGCAGCAGCGCCTTAAACTTTATGATGGACTTTGGGGCTTTGGGCTTCCTACCTTCGATGCCGGTGTTGAATATCGCAGCTCGCATCATACAGAGGCACTGGAGAAGGGCGCGCTATCGTCTCAGGGCCCCCACTATTGCTGGGGAGCTTCAGAAGGCCTCAACAGTAACAGATGAACAAGTGCGGCAGCAGCACACCGGCCGGCCTCCTCTTGCAACGTGGGAAACGTCTTCATACGCTTCAACGTCACACGGGAGAGCAGGACCACCGACGATACAGCAGCACCAGCAAGGCAAACCAACAGCACCTGGGCGTGAGGCTCCCCCTGAGACCGACGCATGCACAGATGCTTCAATGAAACATCTAAGAACACGAGGCGGCACAGCCTTCGAAGGCTGCCTTGCTGCATATCCTGCAGCGGGAAAGATTTTGAGGGGAGGTGAGCAGCCAACCTTCATCTCAGAGGGCCCCCCAAAGCAATGTTGTCTCCAAAAGGAGACACTTAATCTGTGTGGCAGGGAGAGGTCTGCCGAGCCACATAGGCCAAGCAGCAGCAGCTGCCCCCGCGATGGGGAGGCCGAGCCCGCTGATACGAGAGAGCATGTCGCGACTGCGCATGCAGCAGCACAAGACTTCTTTTTAGAGACAGATGAAGAGAACAATGCAACCTCAGAGGGCCTGCCTCCGGAGGGAAGCGTCTCCAGCGATGCGGAGTTTGCTGCACTGCTGCGGGAGGCAGAGGTTCACGACCGCATGCAAGAGATGATGAGTCTGTGGCCAGAAAGGTGCGCCTCCTCCTTCCCAGGAACTCCTAAAATGAGGTTATACGAGAGTCTAAACCCCACAAGCGCGCAAGTGAGTGCCGGTGGGCCCCCTGTAGTAGCAGCAGCAAAAGCCAGCAACGAGGCTGTCTCCCCTTCACCAGCAGCAAGAACCAGCAAGGAGCGTGGTCCCCTCTGGATGCATGCGACTTTCCTGAGTAGCCCTGAGGTTGTCTCAATGAGGGGCCCCGGGGTATTTAAGGCGGAGGGCTGCGGAAGCCCTTCTCCCGAAGCAATTCAACCCATCTTCCTGCAACAAACACAAACATCACACCAACCACCTTCTCCTTGCCTCATCCCCCAACAACAAACAAGCGAACGCTGCCCCGTGGCTTTGCAAGCAGCTGAGGCCAAACTGCAGGGGGGCACAAATGGAGTGACGCCCGCATCAATCAGCAGCAACAACACAGACGCCTCCTGCGCAGCAGCAGCAGCAGCAGCGCAGCAACATGCTGCCTCAAACAGCAGGGGAACACATACGACCACTGTTGAATCCTGTGCAAACAACAAAACGCTTCATGAACATCGATCTACACGTTCACGGTGCAGGTCAAATCACTTGGGTATGCCTTCTCCTGCTGTCTCCTTCTGCCTCCTCCTTCTTCTGTCTCCTTTTTCTTCATTTCCTCCTGCTCCTGTCTCCTTATCGTTCTTCCCGGCTTCGTCTGCTTTCTTATTCTTCATCTCCTTTTTCTTCGTCTATCCCCTTCTTCTTCCTTCTCCCCCTTCTTCTTCCTTCTTCTGTCTCCACCGTCTGTCTGCCTCCCATCTGTCTCTTTCGTCTGCTCCTTCTACTTTAGTTTCGCGCATCTTCTTTTACCCCCTTCACCTTCTTCTGACTCCTTCTTCTGTATCCCCGTTGTTCTGTCTCCTCCCTTTCCTGGTACCTCCAATACATTATGGGGGCCACTATGCAGCAGTAGTTCGGTGTTGGCATTTGTTTGCATGCATGCCTGTATGCATGCAAACAAATGCAGCACTCGAACGTCCTTTGCTTTGTGCTTGTACTTGATTTTGTGCTGTTACAATTGCTTCAGGAAGGCCGCCTATTCCTCCTAAAGACCTCATCGCAGCAGCAGAACAGATGGCACTCCAGCAACGCCTCGCACAGAACGCTCAGGAATTCAGGAAGCAGCTGCTGCTGCAGATGCAGCAGAACGAACTCCATCCTATTTAACAAAGAGGAAAGGCTGCAGCAAGGGCAGCAAAGGAAGGCCAGCATACTCAACAAAACTGAAGTGTAGAAGCATGCAATACGAGGGCAGAGACTAACTTCATGCCCTGTGCGGGGGACGTCGGTGGACCAGTTGAGGACCCCTGCTATGCAGGCTGCACATATGAAGACCTGCAAACCACCTGTTACCCCCTCAAGCCGTGTTCGTGTGTCTCACGAGACAGCGTAGCTGTCGGCGGCTCCTTAAACTAGATATTGGTGGAGCTACAGAGAAAATATACAACCAGAATTCTTATTCAATAGTTCCCTTAACATAGCTTCTCAGCCACCAGAACGCCATTTATTCCGTCTCGTATTTTACGAGGAAGGAGAAGGATCGGCGCTTGAGTTGCGTAATACAGCAGCAGCAGTAGCAGCAGCAGTGGCAGCAGCAGCAGCAGTAGCACAAAACTATGAACAACTGCAGCGCCTCTCTGTGGCGCTGCCAGTATTCTGAAAGGCCTTTGTGGCAAGCTTTCGCTATTGCTGCGTAACTAACTCTGGATGCTCTGTTCTGGTGTACGCACTGCTAACAACTGGCGCCTGATCATTAAATATCTTTACTTATACAATAGTGACTGCGGAGTAAAGGGGAAATTCAATAAATATCTTCCCCTGGGTGCCGAGGCCTGCCGAGTATTTAATGTATAGTAGGATCTTTCGTCAGAAAGAATAGAAACGTCACCTCAGAATCTCGTGAGGTAGAAGCCGCTTCCTCTTGTCAACAAGTGCATGCAATCAAATGTGTAGGCGTCGGCTGCTAAGAACAGCTGCTGCTTCGCAGCTGCTGATTAATAAACATAGAACATGCGTAGTTCGTATAGGATATATAGTGTGCATATTATATGCATCGTGTATAAAGTATATGGTGCCTACGTATACAATATGTATTAAATTATATGGCCACTCAGGTTGCGCACAGGGCTATAAGAGAACAATAAACGTAATAAGCGGGGGCTTTCAATAAAGAGCCGCAATACCCCACACATTCTTGGTGGGCCCCTCTCCTTCTTTTAGGAGCAATCCCCTCTAGCGGGTTCAATTCGTGCTGTCTCTGCAGAAGCAGCTCAGCCGCAGCCTGCTGCGCTTATCTTCGCTTGATGTACACATACACAAGGCACACTGCCTCTCCCCCCTTCTCCTCCCCATCATTCAGCCACAAAAGAACAACAAAGCGAAAAAAAAGAAATATAAAGTTACATGCGTCTGCAGTGAACCGAGTGTGGGGAAGTCCGCTGGAACTGTGGCCCTGGCCTGCTGGGGCTGCCTGGGAGCTGGGGAGACGAACTGCTCCGGGTGTACATGCAGGGGACTCGACCTCCGGATTTGACGATAATGCATGTAAGTTAATGCAAAAGATGAGCGAAAAAAGCAAACGAAGGAGCAAACAAATGCAACGAATTCAACTGAGCAGCGCACCGGCCTCCTTGCTGCCTGCCTGGCCCACCCCTGCTGTCCTTCTTTGCTGTGCTGCACACACTTTGTGTGATTTGAGTTTCAAAAGCACATTGTTTTAATACTAGTTATTTTTACACATTTACGCAATACTTAATGAAGAGGAAAGCCCTGAGGGCAGACGAAGAGCACCGATGTCGATTGTGGCCGGCCTTCGCTCAGTTCGTGGGGGACCGACCAGTGGAGTGACACTGCAAAGAACACCATACAACAAAAACCATTTATTCCTTTTTGTTGTAACCACATTTAAATGAAATACTTTTTAATTTCGCTTTCTCCTGTTTTCCCCTGCATGCGAGCTGCCTGCTGCCCCCAGCAGCGCGTGGGCTGGTGCCTGTATTGTGGTCGTCGAGACTGCTTGAACTTGGGCTTCTATGGGTTGCGGATTGTTTATTGAATTTGTTTTTATCTAAATTAACTGCAAAACTCCCGTCTTTTGAACGAAGTGAGGCAAAAGCCGGCATGAAGGGGAGGGGGGGCACAGCCTCTCCGCCTGGCAGCCGACAAGGCCCCCCCTCCCCCTCTCTCTCATTCAGACCTCGACAGGAGTTCTCAGCTGCATGCATGCACACGATGGGAGGGGCCCCCCAGGGGTGTGTGGGGGGGGTCCCGGGGGAGGCGGCTTCCCCCAGGAGCGTGAGGCTAGGGCCCCCCCCTACCTGCGGTTGTTCGGCGTCTGTGGATGTGGGTTGCGAGGGAGGCCCCTATTTAGGCCGTCGTTCCATTTTAAGGAGGAGGAGCAGCGCTCGGCGATCTACTGCAGCAGATGAGCATCTGCAGTTTTCTGCTTCAACAGCAGCAGCGCAACACGGCGAAGGCAGCGACTTCTGCGGGGGATGGCATGCGTCAGGAGGGGGTGCAGAAGAAGGAGAAGGCGTCTGGGATACAGACTGCACCTCCGAATCTGGGATGGGGGCCTCCACGAGTTTGCAGATTTCTATGCTGCACGAGGCAGCCCGTTGGTTCCCTCACACTAATATCTACGCACGCATGAAAGACAACGCACAGTCTCAGTTTGATAAGAAACATGAATGCAGGGATGCAGGTGAGAGGCAGATACACACAAACAAATGCTGCTGCAGCTGCTACTGCTGCTCCTTCTGCTGTTTTCTGGTGGTTTCCAGCCGCCTGTTCTGCGGGTGCCGCTGGTGGCTTCGTTGCTGCTGCTGTTGATGCCATTTGGAGTTCTTGCGTCTGTTTTTGCTGCTGGTGCTTTCTGAGCTGCACCAGCTGCGGGTAGTCCCTTTGCCGTTGTTTTCTGTTACTGTTACTGCATCTGGGGGTTTCTGGCGTGAAGAAGACGCAGGGTGCAGCTGCTTAGCGATTGCGGGAGTGGGTTTGGGCCTTTAAAGGGTTTAGGGTTTAGGGTTTAGTGGGGTTTGGTGTGGTGTCTGTTTGTGCTGCAGTGACAGGGAGGTTGCGTATAGGGGGCTCTATTTTCACTCTTCTTCTGTTTATCTGCGTGACGCAGCGCCAGAGCAGCCTCGAGGATATCCCCTTAGCAGCATTTGAGATGGGGGGCGTCCGCTTCATTGGCTTTGCTTCTCTTATGACTTTTGTTTGTTCCCTTCCCATCATGATCATTGATGTCGCCCTGGGTAATTAATTTACAAGGGCCTCCGTCCATCCGTATAAAGCAAAATAAAAACCCTGTTGTGCTCCTCAAAGTTATATTTTAAAATTAGGGTTGTCCCCCCAACTTGCATGCATACATGCATGCTTCTATGGGGCTGCTGTGTGGGCATTCGTTGTGGGTGTTTTCAGGGCAAGCGGCTCAGGCTTCTGTGGTTGCGGCTTGTGAAAGTGTCCACCGGCGTTTGAGGGGTTTGGGGCTGGCTATGGCTGCCAGCACAAGTCTCTCAGCCGTGCTACAGACGTACATCTCTTCCTTGGTTTTGCATTTTCTTGTTACATCAGTCGGGACCCTTTCTACTTGGGTCACCAGCGACACTTTCCACGAAATCTGCGCAAGCTTAACCGCCGCCGAGTAGGCAGAAGGAAGGCCCTTGGTTCTACTGCGTCCTTGCTTCTATATTAGGGGGGCCCTTGCTTGCTTCTATCTACTTGCTTTAGTAGCAAGGGGCCCCCGCTACTACTGGCTCCTTGCATTGGTAGCAGGGGGCCCCATGCTTCTTCTTTCTCAATGCGCCAGTAGCAGGAGATTCTACAGTTTCCTTGCGCTAACACCAGGGGGCCCCTTGCTTCTCCAATCTCCTCGCTGTGGTAGCAGGGAGCCCCTTCGCCCTTTCGTCTCCTCGTGCTGCTACCGGGGGGCCCCTTGCAGGGGCCCCTGGTTGGCTTGTGTCTCCTTGGCTGGGTACTCTGCTGTCTGCTCTCTGCTGAGGTGTCTCTTCTCCTTTGCCTCTGTGTGCGTCTCTGTCTCCTTGCTTTCGGTTTTAGTGTTGCCTGGGGGCGCCTTCCCGGTTGTGCAGCTTGTGGTTTTATGCTTGTCTCTGTCTCCTCTATCTGTTTCTATTTCACAAGTTTTGTTGTTCCCTGTGCTGCGGCAGCTGCTGTCGCTGCTGTTGTAGCTGCTGCTGTAGCTGCTGCTGTAGTTGCCGCAGCTGCTGCGTGTGTGTATGCGTGCGGCAGGTGTGCGGCAGACATGCGCTGCTCCCCCCAACCCAACGGAGTATGCGTGGCTTCAGTAGAGAAGTACATTAACGCTTCGTGGACTCATTTGCTGACGTCTACAGACGTCACGACAAGGGCGTGCAAGGTTATTAGCTGCCTTGCTGTCTGGATAGTCGTTACGTACACTCTCACGCAGGTGAAGAGACCTTCCCTTCCTCTTTGCTCTTGCTGCTGCTGCTGCTGCTGTTTCTGATGCTTTTGCTGGTGTTGCTGCTGTTGCGAACACTGGGGGTGCTGCTGTCGCTGCTTTTGCTGCTATGGTTGCTGCTGCCGCCCTCACTGGCGCTGCTTTTGTTGTTGCCGTTGCTGTTGCTGCTGTTGCTGTTGCCGTTACTGTTGGCGCTGCTGGCGTTGGTAGTGGCGCTGCAGCTGCCGCACCGGCTGCGGTTGTTGCTGCTGCTGCTGCATGCCTTCGGTGTGCCCCTTAGTTAAAGGGAGGTGGCCTTTGGCTTCGAGGTTTGCTGGGCAGGCGGTAGTGTTGCGTTTTCTTGCTCAGGCGCCGCGCACGTTGGGTACGCTGGGGGCGTGCGTGTTTCCGTGCATGTTTATTTTGCTGCCGTCTTTGGTGTTGATGGAGATGACAGCTGACGATCAGAAGTATAACATGACGGACATCTTTAAGCTGCCTTCTCCCGTTGCGTCTCTGGGGGAGAAGTACTTTTGCGTTGTAATGCTGCCCCTTCTCCTGTATATGCCTGGAGACGGGGTGGTGCTAACTGTTGCTTCATACGACAAACTCTCTCATAACCCCGTCCTCATTAGCGTTGTCTGCCTCACTGCCAAGTGGCTCGTTGCCTACATGCTCTTTTACCTCCTCTTCTACGCAGAGGGCCTGGCATTCGACCCCCAATGTAAGTCCTACCTTCTTACTGCATACATGCATGCATACGTGCATGCATGCATACGTACATGCATGCAGACATACGTGAATGCACCGAACAAGCCTCAGAAGCTCTCAGGGCAACTCTAGTTTGTTCGGGTCTGCGCTGCTTCTGGGTCAGCTGCAGCTGTATCTGTATTGTGCTTGAGCGAGATTTCTAAATGCATTGGTGTTGCATAGGAATCAAAAATAAAAGTGTGGGAATTTTGTTTTTCTTTGTTGGATTTGTCTCTGCATCGGTGTTTGTTTGCATTGTATAGTCAACAGTTCGAATAGTGCAGTGTTATAGTCTATGTATTATAGTCTATGTACCTGTTTATGCACTGTGCGGTTCTTGCTGCCTAATAAACAAATAGAATATACGTAATATTTCTGGATTGTGTGGATTGCTTGTTGCGTAAGAAACAAATGTGCAATATGCTTCTGCGTTGTGTGTTCTCTGTGTGGCACAAGAAACAAACGAATATGAAAAACAAAGGAAGTCAAAGATCTGTTTCTGAATTGTATGATTTGTTTGTCGCATAAGAATGGGAATACACGATGTGTTTCTGCCTTGTGTGCTTTACCCCAAGAAACAAAAAAAATGCATTGACTGTTTCTGCATTGTGTGGCTCGTTTGACTCGAGGAAAAAATAGCGTATAAGAAACGAATACAATATATTATCTGTTTCTGCATTATATGGTTTGCTGGTTGCATAAGAAACAATTTGAATATGAGAAACAAAGAGGAAATAAGATCTGTTTCTGCTTTGTGCGTATTTGTGTCTCATAAGAAACCAAAAGAATGTATTACGTGTTTCTGCACTTTGCGGTTCGTTTGTCTAATAAGAAACACATGGGAGTATAAAAAAATATATTTTATTCAAGTATAAAATCTGTTTCTGCAGCGCATGTTTTGCTTGCCTCATAAGAAACAAAACGAAGAAACCAAGAGAACAGAAGATGTTTCCGCATTGCATGCTTTCTGTCTCATAAGAAACACAAAGATTTCTTTGTCTGTTTTGTGCGGTTTGTTTGTCTCAGTGTTTAACGGATTATTTCGACCAAATGGAATTCAGTGGATTACGTCGGGGGTGCCGGGCAGCGCTGCCTTTCCGGTGATGTGGTATGTGATGACTCGCATGTGGCCGGAGTCGTGGTTCTTAGGGATGATGTCGTTTGTTGCAATTCTTACGCAGCGCTTTTCAACTTGCTGGTGTCTCGTATTGGTCCAGTGGTCCTTTATATGCGAAATGCGCTGTCTAACGCTGCCAGCTAAGCCCCCACCACCTAAAGGATTACCTATGTCCCCTCAGCAGCAGCAACAGCAGCAGCAGGAACAGCAAACTACTGCTCTGGCTGCTCCTACGACTCCTGCCGTTGCTCCTCCTCCTATTGCAGGTGCACCTACTCAGGCACCTACCAGCAGCATTCCCACAGCTCCTGCTGCACCGAAGCAGCCGCAGGAGGCGGCGGGAGGGGAGGGGGTCCTGGGGGCCCCTAGGCTGCATTCAGGGCCGTCGGGGCCCCCCGTAGGCCCCACCCTACCACCTCCTGTCTCTGTGTTGAGAGCGCCTTCTGCCATTTCTTCGGAGGCCCCGGAGTTGTTAGCTCGTGAAACAGACAGTGCAAAAGGAGGAGGGGGAACCACCCTTGTGCGCCGCAGGAGACCGAGGGGTTTAGATGAGAGAGGCAGCAGCGGAGGGGGTGAGGGGGTTTGGTCTTGCTCGTTTTACCGCATGTTGAGAAGGAGCACCGCAGATACATACGAAGAAGATGATGACAAAGGGCTAGGTGCTGCTGAGGGGCTGTTTGCAGTGAAGGCCGTCTCTCCTGCAGACACCCCATTAGCGTGGTGGGGGGGGCCCGAGTCTGCGGGTCAAGAGAAGATTCGTGAGCGACAGGGGGGCATCTCTAAGTTTCGGGTGTCTAGACTTCTGCTGGCTCTAGTTGTGTACGGGCCTCCTGCTACTTTGTCTGCTTTGCTTGTTTGCTTCAACACGGGAACAGACACCTCACAAGACCCGCGTTTTACTGCGCCTGTACAGTACAGCCTGATGGTCAATGCAGATGTTTTCGTGAGGCTGATGCTGGGGAGCGTTAAGTGCGTACACTTGGCGTGGCTCTTTGGGGTGCGGCAGCAGGTGGAGAGAGTAGGGGTGCTACCTCTATTGGTGTTGAGTTTTAGTTCAGTGTCAGTGATGGTGGTGCCTGTGCTGCGGGTTGTCTTTAGCTGGGAGATGTCTACTTCAATCTTTCTCTTGCTGTTACTGCCCGCGGTATTCTTCTGTCTCGCCTTCTTTATAGTGGCGCTGCAGACTGCACAAAACCTCCGACTTATTCTACAGCAAAAAAAGGGGCCCTCCCCTCTCCACTTTAGGAGTTCTCCCTCTGCTGCTAGAGGCACCCGCAGGGGCCTCCACCGCTTAGGGGCCCGCAGCCTTTCGCTGCACACACGCACTTTGCCTTCTCTTCCTTGGGATGGGGGCTCTGCATGCGCTTCAAAGGAGGAGTATCTGTTCATACAGTCTAAGAGCTTGTCTCTAGAGCGTGTTGCGCCGTTGCTGGCAGTGGAAGAGGGGGGCCCCGGGGGCCCCCCAGAGGACACCTGCACACACAAGACGGCGTCTCCTAGGGAGACACCTGCAACAGCTGCTGCTGCAGCTGCTGCAGCAGCTGCAGCTGCTGCAGCTACACAAGCTGCAGTGAAGCGCAAAGCTGCAGTAGCAAATAGGAAGCAGAAGAGGCCATCAAGCCGGTCTTCTGTGTGCAAGAGCTTCCTTTATTTGAGGCTGCTGAAGAGCAACTTGTATTGGGCCTTCATAGGGAACGTGGAGATGCTGCGAGGCAGTTTAAATATGGCTCTAACTGGGAACCCTTGCAAACCGATCCCGTTTGTGTGGGGTTTGCTCTTTAAGTTTGTTGCAACTCCTTGGTTGCTGCTAGACTCTGTAGAGCATATCGTCAGCACCGTCCCTAAGGCCCTCTCCGACTTGGGGGGTTTAGGGACCCTCATTGCCTATCTCCTCCTCGCTTGGGTCGGCTTGCTGCTCTGCTTCGTGGTGTATGGTGAGCTCCCTTATAAGACGCAGCAGCTTATGCTTCATATCTCCCCTTTCTGCACTGCCTAGCCAGCTCAAAGTGTCTCCTGTCCTCTCTCTTGAATGCATGCGGGTGTGCTTGCCTGGTGGTGTATATACACTAGGTTTCTCTCTGTACATACACACATATCTGTAGCAATATATCTATATATCTGTCTGTGCGCATATATATGCATATATATATATATATAAACCTGTATCTATATCTTTATGCCTATCTCTTTCCACATATATATATGCGTCAATATATATCTATCTGTCTCTGTCTATACATATATAATAACTTCCTGAGTGTAGTGAGATGCAAATGCCCCTATACTTTGTTTTTCTTTGCATGTTGGTCTTGTTGAATGTTAGACAACAAACCGCCTTTTTGAATATGCATGCATTCTGCATTCTGTCTGTCTTTCTTTCTGTTTATGTTTTTCTGTGTTTATTTGAAAGCCTCTGGTTAATTAATTACGGCCATCCCCTCTTCTGTATCTCTTGCCTCATTATGCAACACATGCATTTGCTATGGTGCCCTCAATAAGTCCGTCACTGCTGCTGTTGCTGTTGCTGTTGCTGTTGCTGTTGCTGTTGCTGTTGCTGTTGCTGTTGCTGCTGCTGCAGGAGCCATCCACCCTGACAGCCTGGAGCGTTTGCTGCCTGCTCGAACCCTTGAGCTGCCTCGTTGCTGGGTGCCTCGGGTGTCTTGTCAGTTTCGTATGCCTTTCTTTGATGATATTAATCCGTTGATCTTTGACTCGGAGGCAGCTATTTGCTGCAAACGCAGGGGAGGGGGCCCCCACGGCAGTAGGGGCCCCCGCAGACACAGGAGGGGGGTCCCCCGAGCGTGAACAGAGGGTAAGCGAGGGCCCCCTCTTGTTCTTAAGAAGAAGAAGAAACGATTAGGCTTTATAACAACGCACAGAGGCAAAGGAAAGGCATAAAAAGAAACAAGAATGACTTTACCCGAGTCTTCTGCTTGTCTTGCACATGGGGCTTCATGAACCCCTCTTCTATTAATGAAGTATTATCATATATGTAGTATATAATATATAATATATATATATGTAGCGTACGTATGTATATATGTGGATAGTATATATACGTGATGTATCTGTATAATGTATATATACAATATACATAATGTATTTGTATATGGATGCTTATATATATATTATATATACACGCATACATACATATATGTATAAATATATGTATGAAAAAAGCCCTCCGAGAGCAGCAGGAGCTGCTGCAGCGCTTTGGGGATGCATGCATGCAGCGCACCCCACCCCACTTGTTGTCGCCTGTTCCTACTCCCCTCCTTCAGCGCGCAAGGCTTTAAGAGAGAACACTAAATATCGCCACCACCACCACCCCCACCCCCCC